TTCAGGTAAGTAGCAGCTACGACCTTGACTCCTCAAGCAGCCTACAGCTACCACTTCGGAACTGTCTAGACTCCTAATCTATAGGTCTATAGTTCAATTCCCTTCTACCCTGTGACCTACGACGAATTGCCTACCACTGGCGTTCCTACAGGTCGCAGGTTCAAGTCTACGGGTTGACACTGATACTGTACACAGGTAAGACGGGGATCTAGGGATCGAGCCCTGGGATCTGCATTCGCTACCACGAACTGGTGAATACCGTTTCACTCCCGCCGGCCTAAATTCGAGGTCCTCCGAGAAAATTCCAGTCCAAGGCAGGACCTTTACCTTTCTGCTGTCTTTCGTAAGCCCGGACTATATCGGGAGCTGTCTCTAAAAGTTCAGATCTTGTAAACCAGCGGTCGTCTTTCGGTTCCTGATAACTAAAATGAACCTTGTATTGTTTCTGCGGACGACCCCTACCTCCAGTTCTGAAGACTTCTTCAGCCGCTATACCATCTATGTCATATCTTCCATCCATATCAGGTGGGATCATCGATCTACGGGATGGAAACTGATCACTTGTTTGACAAGGTAGCAACTTCGATGCGTGGAAAACTGGATACGTGTGGAGGTGTGCTGGTAGTTCTATTGTATAGGACGGTCCATCTTTGCCGCCCTTGACTTCCAGAACAGGCCACGGTCCTCTATATGTGGGCAGTAACTTCTGCGAGATGTTCTCCTCCGGCGCAGACTCTTTAGAACTAACCCAGACTAAGTCGCCTACTTGAAACTGTGAAGGGCGACGATGTTTGTTCGCTTAATCTATCATCCTATGCTGGGCTTTTCTGAGGTTCTCTACGACAGTAGCTAGTTCTTTCTCGTGCTGCACAGCAAACTCCCTGGTCCCAGGCGGCAATCTCTGAATCTGATCCCGGTTAAGTCCCTCAAACGGTCTGCGCGGTCTAAAGGACTTGTGCAATTCATTGGGAGTGCGACAGGTGGCTAGATGCACGCTGTTATTGTATGCACTAGCTACTTTAGGCAACATCTCATCCCAATTAATCTGGTCTGGCCTAATATACATGCGCAGAACTTGCTGTAGGATCTTGTTCATTTGCTCTGTCTGGCCGTTAGTCTCTGGATAGCGGCCGGACGACATCAACAACTTAGATCCGTATACTTCCATGAGTTCTTGCCAGTTCTGGCTAGTAAAGCGACTATCTCTATCGCTAACTATAGACAGTGGAATTCCATTCTCACTAACCCAACAGTCAAAGAACCTCTGTATGACTAAATCAGTACGCGCCTCAGAAGGCAAAGGAACAAAAACTGCGTACTTGCTAAAGCGGTCAACTATGACCATGACTTGGCTCTTGCCATGCCTGCTCTTGACTTGAGTGTCCATGAAATCTATTGACACTGAGTNGCCATGCCTGCTCTTGACTTGAGTGTCCATGAAATCTATTGACACTGAGTCCCCCGGCTGATCCGGAATGGGCAAGGGTCTGAGAAGACCTAGCGAGGCGCGCGTAGAACTCTTATTACGCTGGCAGACTTTGCAACTGCGAACATACTCTACGCAGTCATTCTTCATCCCTGGCCAGGTATACGCACGCATCAGATTGGCCAAAGTCTTTTGCCAACCGAAATGACCCTCTGTGTCGTGACATTCCCCCAGAATCAGACTACGGATCTCTTCGCTATTGGGGATGCACAGCCGGTCAAAGACATTAGTCTTCTCGAAGAGTAACTCTCCAGTAGTGCGGTAGTTCGGCTCGGTCTCTGGGGCCCTTCTTGACTCGCGTGAGGAGCTCACTATAGATAGGGTCCTGCGCGTAGGCTTCTCTAACCTTTTGTTGCAGATCCTTTCCTATATTGAGGTGATGTACTATTGCCCCAAAGTAATCTGCTCTCCTACTTAGAGCATCCGTGACTACGTTGTACTTCCCTTTGATAGGCTTGAGCTCGAAGTCGTACTGATCTATCTCTCCGGCCCACCTTGTAAGCTTAGGTGTCATCTTGGCCTGGGTCTTTAACCATCGTAACGTTTCATGGTCCGAATAGACTTTGAAGTGCCTCCCAAGCAAGTAGTGCTTCTAGTGGTCTAATGCTTGCCTGAGAGCGTAGAGTTCCCTCTCATAGGTAGATGTCGCAACCTTCTCTTAAGGCATTCTGGCGGACATGAACTCTACGGGTCTATACCCATTGCCATCGTCTTGCTGCAACACCGCGCCTATGCCGTACTGGCTAGCATCCGTAGTAACGACAAAAGGCAAGGACGGATCGGCGACCTTAAGGACCAGATACTCTATCAACGCCTGCTTTAATTTTTTCATCGCAGACGTGCAATCCTTGTCCCACTTCCAGATTGTCTCTTTTCTCAGCAATCTGCGAAGGGGCGCAGCGATGGTGGAGAAGTTCCTCACGAACTTCCTATGGTAATTAGCTAGGCCCAGGAACGAGCGCAACTCTGTCAGCGTACGTGGTGTGGGCCAATCTCTAATCGCTGCGATCTTGCTATCCTCTAGCTTAACGCCGTCTCCGTCTAAGACGTGGCCTAAATACAAAACTTGGGTCTTCGCCCAATCGCACTTCTTTGCATTGATCTTGAAGTTAGCTTCCCTCAGCTTCTCCAAGACCTGCCTGAGATGACCCTGATGCTCTTCAAGGGTCCGGCTAAACACTAGGATGTCATCTAGGTAAACTACAACAAATCTGTCTAACCACGRCCTAAACAAATCGTTCATACAGCGCTGGAACGTAGCTGGCGCATTGGTTAGTCCAAAGGGCATCACTATAAACTCGTAATGCCCGTACCTAGTCCGGAAGGCAGTCTTATACTGATCATCAGGGTGTACCTCTATCTGATGATATCCGAACTTTAAATCTATCTTAGAGAAATACTTGGCCCCCTGCACTCGGTCTAAGAGATCGTCTATCCTCGGCAGTGGCTCAGCATTTTTCACTGTAATAGCATTCAGACCCCTATAGTCTATGCACATTCTCAGCCCTCCCTCTTTCCTAGGAACAAAGAGGACAGGTGCTCCGAAAGGAGACGAATTGGACCTAATCCAACCCTTCTCGAGGAGCTCGTTTAACTGCTTGCGAAGCTCCTCTAACTCCCGCGGGGACATCCTATACACAGCACCCTTAGGAGTCCTACTGCCAGGCTCTATCTCAATACGGTGCTGGATGGGCCGCGGCACCGTGCCTGTTGGCGGCTCAGTCAAATCCTTAAGCTCTTCCAGCAGCTTGGCAATCGCGGGGTCCATCGGCTTTTCCTCCGTAGGCTCAGTCACTGGCCTAACATAGGCAACAAAGACCTGTTCCTCCAATCCCTCCTTCTTCACCAATCTGGCGAATGCGGGGGCACTAAGGCAGCAATGCGCCAAGGAATTCTCTACTCCTGACACATGGAACAGGCGGGCAGTCTTAGCCTCCCCTGTAGAACTAGGGAGCCTACACTCATGCTCCTTCAGATGGAGCGTTGCCCCGGCTGCCTCTCCCCAATCCATTCCCAGGACAATGTCAAATGGGAGGCTGTCCTCTACGTAATCCTCTACAATCATAGTACGATTGTCCGCGAGGATACTAACTATGGGGTCTGTCAGTTTCTGGACTTTAAGTCCCAGCCTCAACTTCTGCAGCGCTTTCCTACTAATATAGCTGCGAGTGGCCCCTGAGTCTACTAGGGCCCCTACTCTACTTCTAAAAATCTCTGTATCTAGCAATATAAGCTGCCCTTTATTCTTCTTCTTCATCTTGGCCCAGGCAGGCATCCTCTCCTTCAACTCTTCGGCCACGCCTGTGAGGGAGGTGTCTAGCGAAACTCTGACACAAGCAGTTTCGGGACAGCTGTCTAGACACCGGCCTGCAACCTCTGCCGTAGGCACATGTGGTGTGGGAGTCTCCTGCCGGCTAACGCTATTTTCTCCACATGGCCTAGTGGTAGGGGCAGTTGCTACCCGTACCGGCGGCTGCCTTTTGGCCCTTGGGCAGCCGTTCGGGTCTCTCTATACTTGGGACTATTTGATGATATGGCCCGGGTCACCGCAGAAAATGCACTGGCCCCGGTCCAATCGTTTTTGCCATAAGTCTTGGTCCAGACCCAAAGATTCCTAAGGCCTGCCCTGAGGTAGCCCTGGGTGCCATCCTCCTACTCTATAGGGAGACCTATTCCTAGGACGGTTTTGCGAGGGACCTTGACCCCTGCCTCCCACTTGGCGGTTTCCTCCTCTGCCGCCAACCCCCTGATCGCCCTGGAATCGGTTCCCTGAGGCCCGGCCCCCTTGGCCCTGGCCTCTTCCTCCTTGCGGCCTCCCTCCAGCCGCGACAGCAGCGTAGGATCTCCCCTGGCCCACACCGCTGTCCTCCTCCTCTAACCCCCACTCAATTTGATCGTAGGGGATCTCATCCACACTACCTTCATCTAAAGTCAGGACAAGGCTATCCTTGGTCTTTACCTGCCCTGAGATAGTGCGGCCTTTCCATTGCTTTCCCTTGTCCAAATCCTTATGCCAAAAGGTGGACAGGGACACTGACTTCGCTTCAAAAGCCACCACCTCACGACTAAGGGAATCGTAAGTGGTGGCAGGGTCTTCGCTCTTCGCGAAGAACTGCCCTCGAAAGGCTTCGGGCATAGCCCGGTAAAAGAGGTTGACCAACTGGCCCTCTGTGACCCCATGGTCAGGGACGGCCACCAACTCATCCATTGTACCCTTGAGTGCCCTGGCACTCTTCCATTTACGAGAATGGATGGTTTGGAGCTTATCTGAGGCCTTGACACTGCGAGCGACATCAGCAAATCGCTCGCGCARCAACTTCAGGAATTTGGTGAGGGACGTAAATGAGGAGTACGCAACTGGATCGTCACTACAGTTGGCAGCACGAACAAGGGATCTCGCGAAACTGGCGGCCTCGTCTCTAAGTGCATCGATCGCAATTAAGACCTGCTGATCCGGGGAGACCTGTTGCAAATGCACATAGGTCTTAACATTGGCCTTCCAATTGTCAAAGTTCTCTTCCCTTTTCCCACTGTAGGAATCAGGGAATTTGACTTTGACTGGATCCCTGCGAGGACGGGCCTCCTCCTCCTTGGGAGCGGCCACCTTGACGCCTTCGATGGCGCCGACACAAAAACGCTTCGTCTTCTCGAGGCGATGACTCACCTCAGATCCCACAACGCCTACTAGTTTGCGAGCAAAATCCCGTAAGCCAGTTCGCATCGAGCGTACAGATATCTCTTGGCTGCGACTAAACTCAAAGTGCCTTTCTTGCACTTTAGCTAACCGCTCAACGCTCTGGGCGATGATCTCCACTTTACGTTGGAGATCCACTTGCGGAATCAATTGTGTTGTTACGGCAGCCCTCACCTCCTCCAGTTCCCGCATTGCCGCATTCGYCGCCTCCACTCTTCTCTTCTTCTCCCTCATCACTGCGAGCTTCCATGCCATCCTTTGTTCATCCTCCATCGCCCGCCGCGTCATAACATCTTCTTCTGCTTCCCATTTCTTCATGGCGGCTCCTTGCTCATCCTTGGGGATGTACATAGCAACCTCTTCCTCCTCACCCAAAGATAAGTTGGCGACCCACTCCGAAATCTTCTTCTCCATCTCATCACTGCTGCGGCCGCTGTGCTTCCCACTCCTTTGCAGTGGTGGTCCCTCCTCCTCTTCATCCACCTCCTTCAGCTTTTCCTCTTCTTCCTTTATCAGCCTCTCCTTCTCCCTGGCCATTTCTTCCTTCATCTTCTTCAATTTGGCCGCGTGTTCTTCTTTCAAGGCCTTCTTCTTGGCCTCCTTCTTCTCCTTCCTCTCCTGCAGGATGGCGACCATCTTCTCCTCCTCCTCCTTCGTGTATGGTTGGGTGGAAGTACCACCACGAGTGGGCCCTACTCTACACGCAAAGGTGGGCCAGAAGCCCAGCGGAAAGAGGAGACGCCATAGGGTCCCCCAGAGGGAGAACCCAACAAGTAGCCCATACATCGGATAGTCATCCATCGTGGTGTTGGTGCACGACAGGGGTCCCACTCCTCACCA